ACTGCCCTGGCCAACAACTCAAAGGGAGGTTTCTTCCTGTGTGACACTATTGTTATGTAGCCTTCAGCTTTACACATGGACTCATGCAGAGGTATTGTATGTGTAATTTTTCAGTAGGATTTTGGACTAATATGATTCTCTCTTGTTTTATACACTTAGCTAGGCATTATCTAAAACTGAATAAAACTAACTTTGTTCACTTCCAAGTCAGTACAGGACAGCATAATACCATGAGATTGTAAAGCAAGGCATAATAAATGTTAATGGACAGAATGATCTGAGCAAGCAGGACACAGAATCAAGTATACTGGTAGATGATAAATCGTCACATTACAGACATAGGCAAGTGCTATGAGTGGATGTTTATTTGAGGCAAGATAAAATATTTTCAGAAAGGTTTGGGTGAGTCTGCTTAATATGGTATTAAACTACCTTCTAAGCTCTTATGTTTATAACCATAGATTCGTGCACCTCTCAACTCTCATCAGAGAGGCTCCTTTTTGCAATAGATGGTGATTAAGAGACCCATAACCGGGCAACATTCAAAGAATAAGATATTATGGAGTTCTCAGCCCTAAATGGGACCTCTACATAACACTCCCTCTTCCCAAGGCTCAGGAAACATCATTGAAGGACTGAAAAGATAGTAACAGCCAGAGACCAGTATTTGTTTGATAGGAGAGGGCCATTGTACATATGACTCACAGTGATTGTGAATGCATTCCAACACACACACAAGTTCAAACCAGTCAAAATGCAGCATAGATGGAGGAGTGGCTTATAAAATCCCACCCCCTAAATATTGTACTTTTTACATTTAGTGGGTTCTAGGGGATAGAGCTTCAGTTTTCTTCAGGGATATGTCAAGTGAGAGATGATCCCTGCTCCAGTAAATGGCTCTATACCAATGCATATAAAGATAACACTAAGTGAACTCTGTGGGTTTAAAAAGAAGAGCACATGAAGTTAGGAGAGAAACGTGGTCGGTGTATAAAGAGGGACCAGGGCGCATTTGATCAAACAAATAGATGCATGTGTAATATTGTCAGACAGATATTTGCACTGAAGGACATCTGGGCACAACTTCTTGACTGTACAAGACTTGACAAGTATGGTGGACTACATGAGGTCCAGTGGGAGGGGGGCAAGGATGGGGAAAGGGGTCTAAATTTGATTAGGAACTGTTGTATGAAATTACAAAAGCTCAATAAAAATTTTAAGAAGAATTAAAAGTATCCCTTAGCAGTATTAAATACTATACCATATAAATACCTGAGTTTTAAATAATACAGCAGACAGTAGCAGGGATATCAGAGTATAAGGGCTCTAGTGGGGGGAGGGAGGCTATGGGAAGGTGCTACCTGGGAAGTGGGTCTATAAAAAAAATTCTTCAAAGCATAAAAATTTGCTCTTTAATGACCAGTAGATGTGAAAAACATTACCATTGAAATGTACCTGATGACTTTATATCCATGTTCAGATGCCAAGGAACTCAGAAAGTAACCACTGAGACTAATCAGATATATAGAGATTAGAAACGCATGTGCATCTTAGTGTCAATTGTATTAAAAATGAATTTTTCTGTATGAAACTATTTTATTAAGAAATGGAGATCTTTTTCAAAGTTTAAAACCTCATTTAATTTTATCTCTTAAAAGGTTTATATGGAGTACAATATTGTGTAACTGTATTAACTCGACTATTAACCTAATAATTTACAGCCAATTTTGAAAGAGAAGCATCTTAGCTCTGGAAGTTGTTATTGAATATGTCAATGCTGTTTTAATGAAATTCTTCTTCTAATTATATGGTTATTAAATAAATTACTTAAAAAGAAATC